ATCACGAATAAATACCCGTTCTCTACCACTCAGAATATCGCTCTAACAAGCCCACCACCCAATAGCAGCACCCGCACCGAAGCCTACACCACCTGCAGCAGAATGAGCCATCTATCTAACACGTCAGAAAACGTCACACGAAAAAGAAAAGGGAGTGAACGCACTGTATTACCGTACTTCCCAAACTTGCTCTTCTTCCCATCCTGGCCGGGGTCCTGCTGGAGACCAACAGAGTTGGTACCCGCCCCAGGAGGCGGAGGGACGTTGGAGCCAGAATGGGCAGCCATGAAGGGCTTGTACTCTTTCTTCTGTGTCGCAGCAGGAGCTGGAGGGACGGATCGACCACCCGTAGGCGGGATATACACGGGAGGAAGAGTCCTAGCTGCAGGTGCAGGCGCGGTGATCTTCTCGACATAGTTCGCAGGGAAGAGGGCCCTGCAGCCGTTGTGCTCGCCAAGCCACCAGTCCGCGTTGGTCTCTTCGACAATGGCGATGATGTCCCCAGCCGCGAAGGAGAGATCGTCGGGGTCAGAGGCGTCGAGGTTGTAGGCCCATAGTGCTTTGGCTTGGACGACGGTTGGTGCGGGTGCTGGTGCTGGTGGAGGTGGCGGGATGGAGGGCGACCTAACGGCGGACGGACGAACAGGCGCGGGTGTTGATGTTGATTGGAGGAAGAGCGTCGTCTACGTGTTCTAAATCTGGATCCGCAGGGAACGACTATCAGCACGGACCACAGTTGCTGAGGGTAACACTCACCAGCACTATCCAATTTTAGAACACGCTCACCCGCTCAACTCCACAAGCATGCACCATCCTCCCCGACCCATCCCCATCCCCATACGCGCACGCATCACCCGCATGTCTACCCTCGTCTCATCGCAACCCCCGCTGTTGACTATCATTATCGGCCGGCATGTCGGCGTCGTCGAGCACAGCAGATAGCTGCGTAATCGTGTCGGCATCAGACGAGGTAGGTGAAGGTGGGCCGTCGTCGTGCAGAGTCGGCCAGCGTCCACTACCGCACCGAGGGATCCAGTCTTCACCATGCGAACTCGGAGTGTGGTGGTACGGAGTCGGAGTCCCGCCGTGCTCATTGGCAGGTGCGCATCCGTTCTGCACAGACCGCTTGGTCTTAGTATAGAGTGGGAATAATCACGAATCACACACCTTTATTGATCTTTCAATCCATTGAACCCTTCGTTTACGTCCAGTAAGTACCAGAAACATCGTCTTCTAAGTGCAAAAAGATGAGTTAGCGTGGCCATAAAATGGGGCTGTTTCGCATACAGAATAAGTGACGAAAAAAGGCATCAAACGAACCATGCTGCCTAGCGTGAAAAGTGTTCCAGTTGGGGGGGGGGAGGGGGGAGAAAAAACTTGAGGGCGCCGTACTATGGGGTGTACAGACTGCACTCCCTCATGCCGCTGTGATATCCGTAGTTGCCAACCAAGAACGTCTCACGGATTTGAAAGAAGTGTAGGGACAAGCAAAATATCAGCAATATCATAGGGAACAACGAGAATAATATGGACCGTGGGAAGGAAGGAAAGAAGTTTGATTACCCGACGGTGCTCCTCGACAGAAGCGTGCCAGGGTCCGTACTACAGCCCCCCGTATGTACACTAACAACTCGAGGAACAATGCTGCTACGGTACCGAACCAGGCCTACGCTCTGCCGCTATGGTAAAGCCCCGTCATGAGTAACTCTCTCACGGCCTCGGCGGTAGGCTGATGTTTTTCTCAATATTTCTTGGAGGCCGCGCATAAACACTCCAGTCATGGACAGTGCAAATGCTGTCGGCAACAAGCGAGAGGGAATCGTAGCGCGGCAGTCTTTCGAATCCCACCCCTCATCGTCATAGCGCGGTAGCTTTTTGACGGAAAAGATGCGAGAGTGTCGTAGCGCGGTAGCCTTTCGACAGAATGATACCAGTCGCTCCTTAATGTGGGGGACGTCCTCAGAGCAAGCATGCTAACCCCTATTTTCTCCTTGGGTGACATCCAGACATCTTCCGTCGCATCCATCGAACCGAGTACTCTCTGAGGGACTTGCAACATTGCAACATGCGCGATACCCTCAGAGGACTCTACAATGCACAAGACATGTCGTTGCTTTGCTGCATCTGTGGTTCTAGTTATAGCTAACATATGACAGAACAGGTCAAGGATCGGAGCTCAGCATCTGGTTTGGGGAGTACCCACCTTTTGCGAGCGCAGCGAAATTATTCACGCAATAAGTATGACCAATCTATAAAGATTTTTGAATGTACATGGAGTAACTTTTACTGAGACTTAGGATATCTTCGAGAAAAATCGACTGAATAATCTTGCAAGGTCAACCCAGGAGCAAGGCGCATCAGCAAAGAAACAGAAAGACGACAACATACTCATTTCTACCTACTGAAAAGAAACACGGTCATTCTTTATACATGTAGAAACAATAATCTCACGCCCCAGACCGACACGATAAGAAATGAAAGATATGCGACGCGATGAAAGGACGGAAACGACGCCAAAAAAAAAGAGGCCCCGGGAAGCTCCCGCCAAGGTTTGTCCGGCAGAAAACCCTGATTTTTGGCCTCAAATATGCAAAGATTGGCACCTAAAATATGCTAACTCGGACAAGGCTTCTGCCGGTCCGTCCGTGCCGGACAGCGCCGCGGGCCAAATTTTGGCGTCTTTCGCCTTATATTTTCCGGATGAAATTTCAGTGTCACTTCCATCCATCCTTCAGATCCCAAAAAGTCTTCGCTATGTGCCTCTCCAACTACAGGGATTCCGCCAGGTGCCATTCATCCAGGCCTCAGAGGCCCTAAAATATGCTAACTACGGACAAGGGTTTCAAATTTTGGGTCTGAAATATGCTATCTACGGACAAAGATTTCGCTTTTTTTGGGCCTAAAATATGCTAAAATCCGGACAAACCTTGGCGGGAGCTTCCCGGGGCCGAGGTCCGTAACATTTGCACTTGTTTGGTGGTGGTGGTGGTGTTACCGGCGCCAGGTCCCAATAAGGAACGGCCGGGTCCACAGCCCTGACATGGCAAGCCATGCGCTGTGGCTGCGAAGGCTCATACCGTTGTAACCACACTACTTGAGTGCGTCTCGCGGGGTAGAGACACTCCGCAGGGTACTAAAGCGGCCGGGACAATCACAGCTGGGTGACGGCTATTTTGCATGAGTCAAAATAACATCAAAACGCACTTTTGAGATTTTGCATCAGTCAAAATCCTTCAGTATTTCCTTATTATGTAGGGGGGTGCCAAGGATTTTGATTCCATTTTGACCTGCGGAAAATAGTCGCCACCCAGCTGTGTAAAGAGGAGGACTGTGGCTGAGGAGAACGAAGGCGTGGCATAACCAGAAGCAGAGTATTTACGGAGAATACAGCGGTGTACGACTAAAAACTCGGAAAACATACTTCGCAAAAAGAGAGAGGACTCGAATGTCATCAGAATCAAGAAGCAAGTGGATCACCTCCACCCCAAACGACGCGGATTTCAGGGCAGCTGCAAGCGGGGGAGCAGCCATCGAGAACAAATTACGAAAGAAATGGTAACCCAAGTCCTCACGCTGCACCGGACGGGTTCCTCACATGCCGGCCAGTTCTACTCGCTGCGCTCACAATCACATGTACCACCCACTCAAACTCAAAATCCTTATCTACTAATTCTCTCAGACTCGCGTGACAAGCTCTTCACGATGCGTGACTTTGCCTAGCTCCTCCCTTTTTCCACCTCCCCGTCACTACTGCTAAATGTATGAGTCTGGCTATGCCCGAGCCTATGCTGGAAGGACCTTACGGAGAGCCTATCGTGCAGCCTTTGGGAGAGACCCTCCCCCGAACGAGTATGATGACCAATTCCTACTTTGGATAGACATCTGTTCCGCCGTTGGGGTGGATCATCACCTCGTCAAGACCATAAAAAGGTACCTTCCTGCCTTGGGTGATATTGACCCTTGGTGGGAAGATATCCTCCTCCTTGACATGTCACGGACTTTGCAACACATCAGTAACTCTCTCTTTGGAGCTTCTATTAACATGTATCACCTTTACAGGACAGGACATTCTCGAAAACGATTCATGTCATCGATTTTTTGTTGGGTCTCCAGAGGGAGGCCGAACTCCCAGAGCCATACAGGGAAATCCCAACAGAGAATTCAAATGCCATATTACACCGACGTGAACAGCTCGTCACTGCCATCTTCCATACCTTGCTGTCATTCGTCGAATTCAACGTCGCCCCCGAGCACAAGACGCCGGCGAACAAACTCGAGCTTTCAAAGGACACAACCAAATGCTCGAGATACCTCCGCTATTCCATGCATCCCATACATTCCATGCAGCCACTCCGTTTCGATTTTGTTGTACAGATTTTGCGTGGCGGAGTTCCTGATTCTCTAGTATTGGCAGTTCCGGATGTCTTGATATCGATCAGCTGGAAGCGTGGTTCCAAACTCGAGTCTACGGATCAAGCGGCGAGCCAAGTTGTACGTGCACAATCATTCCTTTCCTTTTCTTTGATTACTACTAAATCTCATACTTCAAACTATCAGGTTTCATGGGCCTTCAACTTTGCTTACTTTCTTGACGAACATGTAGTATTCCCTCCGAGACCCTCGAAGGTTGAGGACACGGGATTCAAGAGCACAGCTCGGTTCGTGAAATTTGCGAAGCTGATGCAAGAGAAACTGTTGAAACCTTTGTGGCAGAACGTCCGGGTGCGTAAAGTTACAGCAACGTGATCTATAGCTCATAAGCAACCCGTTCGTATAGGAAAATTATATAGACTTAGATCCCCCTTTCCCCTACGATCAATCCCTCGAGGACTCGGAGGCGAACTCGGGGATGGACCTGCAAAGGGGGTGAGTGCAAGCCGGAATACAGAAATTGCCAATGGATTGTATGGCCAGTGTCTGAGAATTGGCTGCAGACGACGAGTCGTTCGAATACGGGTGCAGAATAAAGGAGGATACCGTCTTCGCGAGGACTACGTTGTGCCTGTCATCTTTGAGGTGGTGATATAGCAAAATAAATGTGCATCTTATCATTTTTACTTGACTACCAACAAATTTGATCACCGGAGAGCCGCGAAATCGTACTACTGTCCGAGTCACTGCAAACTGACAAGTGAAGATGAATCGCTACCTTTCACGAGAAAAGGTTCGCCAGGACGTAGGAAATTCATAATTCAGGTCGGAGGTGTATGGTGGCTGTGCGACCTCTTACATCTCGACGACGACGATTCGACTACTCATGCTTTCCTCACGGCCGTCAATGGGGTTCTGCCATGATGCTAGATATGAAACCAGGGCATCTCGTATTGAAGTGCGCCTGCCAGGTTGACGTGGCAAGTACCGTTTTTGTTTGCAGACAATCCAGAGTCGCTTCTGCAGTCAAGGAATGAAGAGACGTGATAGAGTACTTTGCGATGGAATGTTCGTTCGGTACAAAGCAAGTCGAGGGTGCACAGCCACCATACACTTTGCCTGTTATCACTTCACTTCGATATTCCCCGACGGTCATTTAATTGCAAACTGTCCTCTAGCATGCCTCTAAACACCATGGATACCACTCGTTTCCGTTCGTTCTCACGGCCGATTACTCGTGAAGAAGTTCGGAATGCTAAAGAGCATATTCGGCGTAGGGGGGTTCCGCTGCGATGGGAACTGATCTCGTAAATCAGCGGGAGATTCTTGCGATACCTGAAAATGATCTCGTGAGGTTATTTAATCACTGCTTAGATGCCGACGAGATCCCTCGCATATGGCTCACCAGCCTCTTGGCCGCAATTCCCAAGAAGGATCGAGATCTTAGCATGCCCGATAGTTACCGTGCCATCGGTCTCCAGTCCTGCATGTTGAAATTTCTGACACTGTTGATTGACCGTCGCCTTACCGAATGGATGGAAGACGTAGACGCTCTTCCGGACTCCCGGAATGGATTTAGAGAGCACAATCGCAATCGCACCCATAACAATTCCTTTATCCTCCGGGCGGCGATCGATTCCGCTCATGCTCAAGGCAAAGTCCTGTATGTATACTTCGTCGATCTCGAGAACGCCTTCCCTTCTACCGATCTTTCAACCCTATGGATTAAGCTGCAGAAGCTTGGTGTCGGTGGACCCATGTTCGATTGGATCCGTCATATGTACCGCGAAATGGACTACGTCGTCAGAACGGGATCTTCCTGTTCCAACACCTTTCAATCTTCTATTGGTGTCCTTGCAGGTGATACCTTATCGCTTTCATTGTGGAACATTTACTTTTCCGATTTGTCCATTCCTGACGACATCGTGTGAATGGATCGCCATATTTTCCACATTGAGCATGCCGATGACATTGCACTGTTCTCGACACACAGGGTCTACAGCACGCATTGGACAACCTCCACACTTGGTGCGCAAGGAATTTTATGACTATATCTGTGTCCAAAACACATTTGTGGACGTCTATCCCCTTTCCAGAGGACAAGGCTCCTTTTATCTTCGTCGGGACAAAGGCTCTTTCCTATGTGTATGAGTATAATTTCATTGGGTTGCGTCTTGACTCCCGGGATGCATACGTCTTTACATGCGAAGGCCGTCACGTCTTTCTTCTCCCCATCAGGTTGAAACATCCCTCCTGATGGCCGTTTTGCATAGGCCTGACGCCACTTCCTTACCGTCGTCTCCTCTTGGCGTTATCTTATCTGCAGTATCTATTGTTTCTGCCAGAACGTCACTATGCCAATCTCGCACTCCAAGCATCCTTGTCCCTGACTAGGAATGGACATCCTTCCTGGTTCTCAGACTTGTTGCACGTTCTCCGCCGTCTCGCACCCTCTTCGCCCTTGTCTCCATCAGCAGATATGGTCCGTATTACCATACTTCTCAAACTTGCTCTTCTTCCCCTCGTGACCGGGGTCCTGCTGGAGTCCAACAGAGTTCATATTCGATCCAGGAGGCGGAGAGACATTAGAGCCAGAATGAGCAGCCATGAAGGGCTTGTACCTGCGTCGTTGCGGGTAATGCTCTCGTGATGTGGCAGGAGTGCGGCGACTAACCGTGCTCGTCTTCTTCTTCCTCCCACCAGTCTCCTTCATCTTCCTCCTCCTCCATACCAAGGGGGTAGATGACACTTCGTCTGGAGCCTTGTTCCTTCGAACTTCCAGGTCAACATCGACAAAAGATCCAGCTGAACTGAAAAGAAGGGCTGTTCGTCTGTACAGTCGAATTAGAAGAAGAGAAAAAACTGATACTAGCATGGATACGCACCCAGAAACACGCGCGACACGTGTCAAAGGAGACGTATCGCCCCACACCGGCCTAAAGGCAACGGACATTCCATCGCGAAATGCTCTATCACGTCGGACCGAATCTCTTCATTCCTTGGGCTTGTGTGTCGAGGAGCTGCGGTGAGCGCAGAGGTCGTTACCAAGCGTCGAAAGATGCCTCAGCGCGCGCAAGTTCTTGTCGCCGTCGCACCAGACATTTGCGAGTGTCGCACCTTGTCCGTACGAGGTGTCATGCAGCAGAATCCTAACGTTGTGCTGAGGGCCTTGATGAACGCGTAGTCGCGCAGAAGTCATGGCGAGAAGAGAGTCGACGATGCACAGCCACCATGTACTTTACCTTGCAGCCTGTTACAATGAATGTGTGTCCTTGTTCTTCATCGATGATCCTTCACGAAATCTCCCTCATTGTCTGCGTTGATGCGATCTCGGCGTCTAAGGATAGATGTCCAGTCCTCGTGTTGCACCTTTGACGTGCACTCCCGCCTTTGTCCCTCCATCTATGGCGCACCCCACGAGTCTTCCGAGTCCGGTCTCGGTAGCCTCGGAAAGGCCAGTGTTAGAAAGCAAAAGAGGCTTGGAGATCGCAAAGGTTAATGAGGATATCACGCTTTTCGCTCCTTGACTTGGGTTCTGCATGAGCCAGTCTGGTGAGTTGTCATCCTGATAGAGCAAGTCCTTGTACAATGCGAATATGGTATAGAGTTAATAAATAAAACGATGCATCACAAATAAATACTAGCTCTCTACCAATCAGAATATCGCTCTAACAAGGCCATCACCAATAGCCGCACCAGCACCGAAGCCTACACCAACCGCAGCAGAATGGGCCATCTACCCAACACATCAGAAAACGTCACACGAAAAAGAAAAGGGATTAAACGCACCGTATTACCATACTTTCCAAACTTGCTCTTCTTCCCCTCCTGACCGGGATCCTGCTGGAGCCCAACGGAGTTCGTGCCAGCCCTAGGAGGCGGAGGAACATTGGAGCCTGAATGAGCAGCCATGAAGGGCTTGTACTCTTTCTTCTGCGTCGTCGCGGGAGCGGGAGGGACGGATCGACTACCCGTAGGCGGGATATACACGGGAGGAAGAGTCCTAGCTGCAGGTGCAGGCGCGGTGATCTTCTCGACATAATTCGCGGGGAAGAGGGCCCTGCAGCCATTATGCTCGCCAAGCCACCAGTCCGCGTTGGTCTCCTCGACAATGGTGATGATGTCCCCAGCTGCAAAGGAGAGGTCGTCGGGGTCCGAGGCGTCGAGGTTGTATGCCCAGAGTATGACTTGGATGACGGTTGGTGCGGGTGCTGCTGGTGGAGGAGGCGGGATAGAAGACGACCCGACGGCGGACGAACGAACAGGCGCTGGTGTTGATGTTGATTGGAGGGAGGATAGTTTTCTCTGCAGGCCGGCTGCCTCTGTTTGGGTGACATACCCGTTGGCAACGAGAAAGTCGATGTTGGAGGCAGTCTGAGAGGCGATATGGGTTAGGAGCGTCGTCGACGTGTTCTAAATCTGGACCTGCAGAGAATAACTATCAGCACGGACCACAGTTATCAACTGTAACACTCACCAGCACTATCCGATTTTAGAACTCGCTCACTCGCTCACAGCATCCCTCTCCACGAGCATGCACCATCCTCCCCGACCCATCCCCATCCCCATACGCGCACGCATCACGCGCATGTCTACCTCTCGTCTCGCCGCAACTTTGTGCCCTTCCCATCCTCTCCTGTTGACTATCGTGGTCGTCCTGCATCGCGGCGTCGTCGAGCACAGCAGATGGCTGCGTAATCGTGTCAGCACCAGACGAGGTAAGTGAAGGTCTGCCGCTGTCGTCGTGCAGAGTCGAGTAGCGTGCACCATCACACCAGGGGATCCAGTATCCGCCATGCAGATGCGGAGTGTTGTGGTGCAGATTCGGAGTCTTGCTGTGCTCGTTGGCAGGTGCGCAGGCATTCTGCAGACCGCTTAGCATTAGAATAAGCATGAAATGAATAACGCACCTTCAACGGCCCTTCAAACCATTTAAACCTTTGCCTACACCCAACGGATACCAGAAGTGTCGTCTCCTAACAGCGAAAAAACGTGAACTAGCGTCGCCGTAACATGGACTGTTGTGCATACCTTCCTTGTTCCTTCAGTAGGTGGTAGTCATTCCTTCAATGTATTGATACTGAAAAGACCCGTCAGTTGGTACACGAGTGATAAAACAAGGAATCGAACGAACCATACTGCCTGAAAAGTAATCGAGTTAGAGGGCGCCGTACTCTGCGCCTAACCAGACGAGATGAGTACAAGAAAGTCTAAGGAGCAAGATAAATTAAAAAATGGAAACCCATCGTCTCTCGCCGCTTCGATTCTCTGTTAGTGATTCAGTGTTCACCCTCTAGATCTCAAGGAGGACAGCCAATGTTCAGGAATTCAGGACAACGGAATTTTTGATGGAAGACGTCGCATGGACTGCGGTCTGTCAGCTCGCTCGGGTTAACTTTTGAACGATGGATGTTTGGACTTCAAAAGACTCAAACTTGCTTCCCAACATGGGCGTGCTGGTAGGGAAAATGCCATTGGAAGACCTGCACGAAAACTTCATTTCTGATGAGGCGGTGTAGGAATGGAAGACTAGACCTCGTTTTGCACCCTCGTCGCGTCTTCTCCCGTCATTAAAAAGCTAGCCATCCACGACATGTCTACTTGCACAGCTACTCCCTATGGCACACCCCGCGAGTCCCCCGAAGGGGCGGTGTCGGAAAGCAAAAGGAGGCTCTGAAGGTCCTCAATTTGGTGGTCCTAATGACGATATCTCCTTGAGGTTAGATTTGCGTGGGGTAGTTTGATGGGTATCTGTGTAACGAGTGATTGCGTGAACGGCTATTTTCGGTGCAGGAGTTGGGTGTACGCATTCTGGTTCGCGGTTTTGACGCTGATGTGTCTCTAGGATGGTCAATCTTGGATTTCGTACTCGATGGTAGAGCATACATGAACATATAAAAAGCTGTATTTGTTCCCTACCTCGAGTAATTACACTATGTGATGCCTTTTGTGTGTGAAAGAGCGAGAGAACCTTCCCCAAATGATGCGCTGCTATATACAACTTGCACCGCAACCGGCATGCAAGTCAGATAGCGGAATCTGAAGCTGATGAGAGCCTGTACTGCTCTTTCATCTCTTTCACACACAACGACGACGACGATGGAGACGACGTTCCTAACCCATATCGCCTCCCAGACAGCTTCCAACATCGACCTTCTCGTCGCCAACGGGTACCTCACCCAAGCAGAAGCAGCCAATCTGCAGCGAAAACTATCCCCTCTCCAGTCAACAACAGCACAGGCGCCTGTTCGTCCATCCGCCGTTAGGTCGCCCTCGACACACCCCCACCTCCACCAGCAGCCCCCGCACCAACCGTCGTCCAAGCCAAAGCACTCTGGGCATACAACCTCGACGCCTTGGACCCCGACGACCTCTCCTTCGCAGCAGGTGACATCATTACCATTGTCGAAGAGACCAACGCGGACTGGTGGCTTGGCGAGCATAATGGCTGCAGGGCCCTCTTCCCCGCGAATTACGTCGAGAAGATCACCGTGCCCGCGCCTGCAGCCAGAGCCCTCCCTCCAGTGTATGTCCCGCCTACGGGTGGTCAAGCCGTCCCTCCAGCTCCTGTTGCGACAACGCAGAAGAAAGAGTACAAGCCCTTCATGGCTGCCCACTCAGGCTCCAACGTCCCTCCGCCCCCTGGAACGGGTACGAACTCTGTTGGGCTCCAGCAGGATCCCGGACAGGATGGGAAGAAGAGCAAGTTTGGGAAATATGGGAATACGGTGCGTTCATTCCCCTCTTTTTCTTTTTCACGTGGTGTTTAGTGAATTCTCCATGGCAGACAGTCGAAGTCGAAGTCCAGCTTGCCTCGTTCTCAGTTTTTTGAATCTACTTCTTCTTCCCTCCTCCTGTGTTCCATGTCGATTCGACAGGAACGTCTTGGCTTTCTCGATTTGCTCAAGTGTCCGTTCACATTCCTTGGTGTCCGTATCAGGGCAAAGGCGTGTTTTTGTCCCGACGTAGTCGTTATATGTTTCCATCAACAAAGAGAACATGTTTCGTATGACCGTCCGAGTCAATACAAGAAGCTAAAGAATTAGACGTACGAACAGCGATCATTCGTAGGAGCAGGGATTCCCGAACCTCCATTGGTTCGCCACCGATATCACGCTCACACCCGGAATCTTTGACTCGGAAGTGTCTTCGTATGTAGAGCTTTTTCGCGGAAGCTGGCAGAGAATATGAGATTGGCTTGGAGGGAGAAACTGGAACATGACTCGCGATCATAGATATAAAATGTCATCTCGTAGAGGACGATGTGGATTGGGAATGAGCGGCGTATCCTAGACTAGATGGCTATTCGACACCGCCAGACCTGACTGAGATCAGAGCGGGACTTTGAATCTTGAAAAGAAGTATATACCTGTCACCTCAGCAAGATTGACGTGCGATGAGCACAGAGGTCATCAACAAGTGTCTGGATTGTCTGTAGAAGAAGATGCGTCAGCGCTAGCAAGAGGACTTGTCACGTCACCCCATACATACCCGAACATTCGTGGACGTTGCGTCTTGTCTGTCCGACCATATCCCTCCGTCGCAGCGGAACGTCAGGTTCAACGTGATGAAAGCGTAGTCAGGCAGAAGTCATAGTGAGAAGCGAGCCGATGGCGCACACCCACCGTACACCTCTGCCTAATACCACCTTGCAGCCTGCCACGGCAAAAATGAACTCGTTCTCGATCCTCCACGAAATCTGCCGTCCCTCAGGTTGTCTGCATTTGAGGCGAGAATTACAATTCCTTCTGGTGAGACGGCGTATCAGGCCTCGCTTTGCACCCTCGTCGCGTCTTCTTCCGCCCTCGTGTGAATCCTCGTTGTCCAGCCCATGGTGAATTACGACTCCAAGCTACTCTGACCATCAAAAGGCTGGCCATCCACGACCTGACTCTCCTCCATCACAAACAATCATGTCTGCTCGCACAGCTATTTCCTCCATCTATGGTGCACCCCACGATTCCTTGGAAGGTGCTGGAAAGTAAAAGGAGGCTCCTTGAACTTCAATTTGGAGATCGCCATCCAGGCCAAGGTTAATAGCGATATCACGCTTTTCCGAGCTCCTTGAGTTTGGTTTGCTGGGCCTCACAAGAAGATTCCGAGGAAACTCACGCGACGTATTCCATTGCGAAATGCTCCATCTTGTCGGACCGAGTCTCTTCATTCCTCGGCCTTGTGTGTGTCGAGGGCTGCAGAAGTCGTTACGAGGCATCAAAAGATGCCTCAGCGCTGGCAAGAGTGCTTGTCGGGGTCATCCCAGACATACCCTTAATCAGCGAACATTTGCGAATGCCTGTCCGAGGTGCCGTGGTTCTATATCCCTCCTTTGATGGTGTCGCAACGGAGTGTCATTATCAACGTGATGAAAGCGTAGTCGCGTAGAAGTCATGGTGCTGGTGTTGGTAAGAAGGGAGTCGACGGTGCACAGCCACCAGTCTCTTCTGCCTGTTACTACCACTACCTTCGCCAGACTTGAAGCTTGCCATGTGTTCTGGATCCTTCATGCGTCACGTACGACAAGCCTCTCTGACCGTTAAAAAGCCAGTCATCGGCGACCTATCCCTCCATCTATGGTGCACCCCACGAGTCTGCGGCGTCGGCAAGCCAAAGGAGGCTCTGAGGCTTGGGTTTGGAGGTGGAGATTGCCATCCAGGTGAAGGTTAATGGGGATATTCCCATGAAACTGCGTTCGCGTGGGTCAGTCTGACAGGATGTGTAGGGAGCTAGTGATTGAACGGCTATTTTCAGTGCAGGTGGTGGCTGAACGCGTTCTGGTTCGCGGTTTCGATGCTGATGATGTGTCTCTAGTATGGTCAATATTGGATTTCGTACTCGATGGTAGAGCGTACATGAACATATAAAAGCTGTATTTGTTCCCTACCTCGAGTAATTACACTATTTGATGCCTCTTGTGTGTAAAAGAGCGAGAGAACCTTCCCCAAATCTTTCCTTTGTTCCGCTACTATAAGATGAACATGTTCGACCCGCAATAGGCATCCGCGGGATCTGAAGCTGAAGCCCGAGTTGGCCGATCGGGAATGATGCATTGATGAAACGCCGCATTGCCTTTTCCTCTCTTTCACCACAACGACGACGACGACGATGGAGACGACGCTCCTAACTCATATCGCCGCACAGACTGCCTCCAACATCGACTTTCTCGTCGCCAACGGGTACGTCACCCAAGCAGAAGCAGCCGGCCTGCAGAGAAAACTTTCCTCCCTCCAATCAACATCAACACCCGCGCCTGTTCGTCCGTCCGCCGTTAGGTCGCCCTCCATCCCGCCACCTCCACCAGCACCAGCACCAGCACCAACCGTTGTCCAAGCCAAAGCACTCTGGGCATACAACCTCGACGCCTCTGACCCCGACGACCTCTCCTTCGCAGCAGGGGACATCATCACCATCATTGAGGAGACCAACGCGGACTGGTGGCTTGGCGAGCACAACGGCTGCAGGGCCCTCTTCCCCGCGAACTATGTCGAGAAGATCACCGTGCCTGCGCCTGCAGCTAGGACTCTTCCTCCCGTGTATATCCCGCCTACGGGTGGTCGATCCGTCCCTCCCGCTCCCGTTGCGACGCAGAAGAAAGAGTACAAACCCTTCATGGCTGCCCACTCAGGCTCCAACGTCCCTCCGCCTCCTGGGGCGGGTACCAACTCTGTTGGTCTCCAGCAGGACCCCGGCCAGGATGGGAAGAAGAGCAAGTTTGGGAAGTACGGTAATACGGTGTGTTCACTCCCTTTTCTTTTTCGTGTGACGTTTTCTGACATGTTGGGTAGATGGCCCATTCTGCTGCAGGTGGTGTAGGCTTCGGTGCAGGTGCTGCTATTGGTGGTGGGCTTGTTAGAGCGATATTCTGAGTGGTAGAGAACGGGTATTTATTCGTGATGCATCATGTTATTTATTGATCCTATACCGCATTGAGCAAGGGATTTCATGTATGGACTATGTTCGAACAACACGACAAGAACTCCCTCCCTCGAGTACGAAACTCGAGATTGCTCAACCTCGAGACACGTCAGCATCAAAATCACGAACCAGAACGCGTAAAGAACACACCAAGACCCGTACAGCCAACATCTGCACCAAAAATAGCCATCTAGGCCATTCAATCATTCATTATACATATCCCATCAGAACAAGCCACGTAAACCCAACTCAAGGAGCGAAAAGCGTGGTATCGCCGTTGACCTTGGCCTGGATAGCGATCTCCACCTCCAAATTGAGGTCCAAGCGGAGCTTCAGAGCCTCCTTTTGCTTACAGACGCGCCCTTTCCGACCTATCAAGGGCGCCTAGGCTCATTCATGGGATGCACCGAAGATGGAGGGAGTATCTGTGCGAGTAGACATGATGGTTTGTGATGGAGGGACTGGTTGTGGATGGCTGGCTTTTTGATAGTCAAAAACCTTGCACGACGCACGACGAGGGTGCAAAGCAAGGCCTAGTTCCATTGCTTATACTCCGCCTCGCCAGAAGGAATGGTATCCTCGCGTCAAACGCAGACAACCTGAGGGACGGCGAGATTTCGTGGAGGATCGAGAACGAGTTCATCTTTGCCGCGGCAGGCTGAAAGGTGGTATTAGGCAGAGGTGTATGGTGGCTGTGTGCCGTCGACTCGTTTCTTGCCATGACTTCTGCGCACGCGACTACGCTATCATCATAAGGCTAGAATTAGTGCCCAAGATGGCCAAAACGCGACTTGATTGAAGTTTTATGTCTGGTGCGACGCGACATGTCTTCTTGCATCTTCTTTTACAGGCTGTACTGCGAGCCGCCTGACCACAATTTCTGCGCTCACCGCAATCCTCGATGTCAATGAACTTCACAAGGAATCGAGGGATGAGATGGAGCATTTGTCGATGGAATGTTCATCACTAGGGTGAGGCGATACCTCTTCCTCGACACGCGTTTCTTGGTGCGTATCCTTGCTATCTGCTTTTCTCTTCTAATTCGACTGTACAGACGACTCGGAGCAGCCCTTCTCTTTGAGCGAATTTCTGGTATGTCTGGGGTGAATTGACAAGTCCTCTTGCTAGCGCTGACGCCTCTTCTTCTACAGACAATCCAGACACTTGTTAACGCTCGCCGCACGTCGACATTATTTAATGAATAGATGAGACCTTTTTCCGATCCAATGACGTCGAGCGAAACACCTTGATCCAAAGCGACCAACTCTTCATATTTATCGATGCTTCCTATTACTCCTTTGTTCAATGTCGCCATCGTCGAGCCCTCCTCGACACCCTCCAATGCGATCGAAACCGTACGGAGAGCATACCATACAGTATTCGGTCGAGATATCCCTGCCGAGAACAGTAACAACTATCTCCTACTTTTGACACAGGTCTGTTCTACCCCTGGGGTACCTGATAGCATCGTCGAAGAACTACGAAAGGTTCTCTCGTCCTTGCCCGACCTCACCTGGCAGAATGTCGCTCCAGTTGTAGGCCTCAACCCCTCACAAGGAGAAGAACAGCTATCAGGGACTCGGAAACGTATACAACTTCTGTACTTTCCCGATGAATTCGTAGACGAGCTTCTAGATACTGCTCGGTGGAGGAAATACTGGAGTGACAGGCGAGAGTATGTCCAACTCGGTTCCTTCGTAAGTGCTGTCTCTCTATCCCCCAGCACACTTCTAACCAATGCAACGGATGCAGGCCGTTAAATACATACTGAACAAGCTGGGATTCAGCGACGGACATATTCTGGGTGCTTCTGCATTCAGGTTTGAGCTGAGGATCCAACGGAACGCTGCAGTTCTCATGTTGGAGTCTGAGCGATGGCTTGACCGAACTCAGGTGCTTGTTCAGGCTATTGCCGAGGTGACATGTATGCTGCTGCTCCTTTTCATCGTCCAAAGTCCCTCCCTAATTCCATTCAGGTCTCGCAGCGTCCAATAGCCGTTTGGGATATTCATTCCCAATCCACATCGTCATCACGGACCTCTACGAAACGGCATTTTATACTTACGATCGTGAGCAGCATTATTCTGCCTCCAAGCCAATCTCATATCCTCTGCCAGCTTCCGCCAAAAAGCTCTACATGCGAAGACATTTCCGAGTCGAAGATTTCGGGTGCGAGCGTGATATCGGTGGGGATCCAACGGAGGTTCGGGAATCCCTGCTTCTACGAATGATCGCTGTCCGTACGTCTGGCTTCAAGCTTCAATTGTTCCCGTCTTGCATTGATTCGAGGTGGCACAAGTCACACGGGATATCTTCTCTTTATTGATGGAAGCATATCACGACTACGTCAAGGCAAAGATACACTTTTGCCCTGATATGGAGGACACCAAGGCATGTGAACGTGCGCTTGAGCTATTTGAGGAAGCCAAGACGCTCCTGTCGAATCGACATGGAACACAGGAGGAGGGAAGGAGTGGATTTAAGAAACTGAGAACAAGGTAAGCTAGACTTCCGATTTCGAATGTCTGCCATGGAGAATTTACTGGTTACTAGTGTTCTGGTGCTGCCATGGGGATGCATGAGATTTACCGAAGAAGAAATGCGCGTGCAGAATGAAGAAGCTCTCAGATATATGATTTAATTTACGTGATTGGATCGTCAGAGCAGAGGTCTCACTCGCAGTCAAGTAGCGTTCTCGAGACGGGACTCAGAGTGAGACATCCTCAACTCATAGACAGACATCATGATGGGTGACCTTACTCCCGAGTCTGCTCCTCCTTTCTTCACTGTCGCCGCCATCCTACCGTACGGTATGCTCTGTGCAGGATTGTGATCGCATCGTCGGACGAGGAAGGTGTTTAGCAAAAACTTCGTTCCTACCAGGGACCATCTCCTGCTGTGGATGAAAACCTGTTCTGCCCTAGAGGTGAACGATACCGTCGTGGAAGAACTACGAGAGATTCTACCCTGCTTGCCTGACCTCACCTGGCAAAACGTCGCTCGGGTTGTAGGCCTTGACCCCTCTCTGGGGAACGGACAGTTATCCGAAAAACCTATTCAAACGCTATTCCTACCCGTTACCTTGGTAAATTCGCTTCTAGGCACTGCGCAGCGCTCTTCTAGATATCGCAGGGACCGGCAGGGGTATGTCCACCTCGGTTCGATGGTAATTTTTATCTCTCTTTCTCTCTCTCGGATCTTCTAATTCAACTTGAAGGCCGTTAAAAGTATATTACTCGACCTATTACGTGGATTCGTTTACGACAACGAAGGGGAGGATTTGGATGCGTCTTACTTTGACTTTGAGTTGAGGATCTTAGGGAATGCTGTCCTTCTCGTCGTAGAAGCCAAGCAATCTGCGTCGTCGAAAGTACACGCTCAGGCTCTTGCCGAGGCGACGTGTACAGTGCTCCTTTTTGTCGTCTAAAATCCGACCTCTAATTGCGGTTAGGTCTGGCGGCGTCGAATAGCCGTTTGGGATACTCACTCCCAATCCACATCGTCATCACCGACCGAGAGGAAACGACATTCTATACTTACGACCGTAAGCAGCCCGCTCCAATTCCAATTCCTCAAAGCCGACTCTCTCTCACATCTCCTTCAATCCAGCATCCGCGAAACAGTTCTACTTGCGAAGCGACTTGAAAATCGAGTATTTTCAGCGTGAGAGTGTTCTTGGTGAAAGTCCAGAGAGGATTCGGGAATGGCAGCTTCTACGAATGACTTGTATTCGTGCGTCTAATCTTCTTTCGAACTGCTGCTCTCTTGTAATGGCTTTTATAGTAGCACGGGATTTGTTCTCGTTAATAATTGAAGGATACTGCGACTTCATCCAGGCGACGATACGCCGTTTTGAATTGCCTTTAGCTTCGCAGCCAGTGAGTAAATACTCTGAGACGATAGTTCTATATATTTAGCCCTGCGACAGTTGAGCGTGGCGACCGAAAAACTGAGCGTCTATGATGAAGATAGTTTCATGCGGCGTTTTCGCACAACCGAGCAATCAACTGAAACTAATGCTGAGCAGGTGATAGCTGTCTGTCATGTCCTCTTTTCTTTTATCGGCTTCGAGACCAGAGGTGAAAGGTTTGATGTGAACAACAAATCGCGAACCATGTTCTACCACATATCAACTTTCCTGACCTCGAATTCGAGTTACGGGTAGAGGTTGTTCACCGCACAGAGCCAGACTCGCCGAACATGATGGTAACCTTGCAGTGGAGACGGCCCAACGAAGATTGGTAACTAAGCGTAAGTATTGTGTCTACAAGCTCAATTTCGCTAACGTCGGATTTAGGGCTCCTGGTCATTTTGCTTCAAGAACTTTTTCCGCACCGACGTAGTGCTCCCTTCAAATTTTGAAGAGACAGAAGACAGTGAATTCCTCAACACAGCTCGGTATGCGGAATTCAGGGATTCGATGCAGGTAGAGTTGTTGCGTCCCCTGTGGAACAGAATACGAGTACGTCAAATAACACCTTAGACCCTGATCTGTTCTGAGCCTGTTTAGGAAAACTTCCCTGGTACAGATACAGAAGCACTAAAGGAGTCACTCAAATTGATCGAGGAAGCCAAAACGCTAATGTCGAATACGCTTGGAATAAAGGAAGAACTGGAAAGCGGCAAGATGAATCTGAGAGAAAGGTAAGCTGAATCTCGAGCGTCCGTGGACAATTCACTAAATGGTGCCAGTGTTCGAGTGTTGCCATGGGCAAGTGGATCGCTCTCCCTGGAAGAGATTGTGGAAGACGTATATCGTACCCAAGCTAGCTATGTTATACGTACCTCACGATAGGACCGTGAGAACTACGGTGAATTGAGAAGTACTAGTTTTCTGACATCGCTTCGAGATGGTAATGAGTAAGTATTTCATTCTCTTGAGGACAGTGTAGTCACAAAGAATACTGTTGGTATCGTTAACGTCCGACTGGATTCACGTATCCTGGGCAGCCATCACTAGGGCCACAAGAAGAGCTATTAGCTTGTGAACAAATGGAAGGACAGGACTCACGGTTGGGACTACAAGACTGGAGAGCTCGACGAAGGGAACACTATCTTCCCTTCATAGTGTTCCCTTCAGCATCAGAAGGGACATTCATAGCCGTGTGTTCTTCGGCGTTGTGCAGATCTTAGCTTGGACTTTGCCGATATCTAAAAGGAGCACATGTCAAGATGTGGATCGGGATGGGAAGGGCCAAGCTCACCCTAGACCTTTCGTAGCGTAATCGACGAACAATGAAGTGGGATCCATGGGTCAAGGATACATACGAGACTATTCGCCACCCACATCCCGGTAACAAAACCACTGGCAGCGGTATTATTATAGTTCTTCTGCTTGAAAGACGAGGATGATTTGCCTCCGTAGATCTGTCGAAGCTACTATGAGGGATATTGGTGACAGCTTGCCAGGAAGTCATGTGCTTCGTGAAGAACCTCGCAGTCTGTCACCTGCTTGCCTTGATACATCCCTCAGAGCTGCCGCCAAGCTAGTATTAACGACTTGACGAGTCTGCACAACCCACGGTATGTAAATGAGAGGCGAAATATTCACGCGTTGCTACTATTGTCCTTCTCCTATCACTTGAATGTCATCCACATTGAGATGGTAGAAAGTGTAGATGTTGTTGGGATTGGGGAAGGGCGATATGAGAAGTGATGGTTATAGTTACTGGTCTCGACTCGACATACAGATCTTCTGGAAGTCAATGAGAATTGGTGGCTCGTCAACTGGAAGGAATTTTCGCCACCATTGTTTGGTATTCGAGCACACATTGTCACCAAGCGCCGGCGCTGATCATTAGCTGTCGAGGTGCTCTTCTTTCCAGTCGCCACTTGTTAATGTCTTGCTATTATTCTCTCATTAGTTGTACGTATTCGTTGCTTATACACACGGCTTTTAGCTAGAACTGTCGTATAAAAGGACTGTCCTCACGTAGTATACATTGCAACGGATACTCTCTTTTCTCTCGCTCATTTCACTGTCCTGAGCCTTGCGGTTTCAATGACATAACTTAGGCTACGAAGGTTTCAGGTTTGTGTGCAGGGAGCGAGCTCCTTTGGCGTTCTCGAAGTCCGTCAGCAATATTAATGCCTGATCCGTAGCATTGTTGGGCTAATACGTAACGAGTACCGCTAGGTATCTAATAAAGCTGGCTTGCCAGGCTAGTCAATACGGTTCACTGCCCTTCCCTCTCCTTCACCCACCACAACGACGATGAATCCTACTTGTCCGTCCGCCCCCATACCCCCACCACCATCCGTCGTCCAAGCCAAAGCAGTCTTGCCATACAACCTCGCCCCCTCGGACCCCGGCTACCTCTCCTTCGCAGTAGACGACATCATCACTATCGTCGAGGAGACCGACGCCGTTTGGTGGCTCGGTGAGTGTAATGGCTGCAGGGGCTGCTTCCCTGCGAAATATGTCGAGAAGATCACCATGGCCAGTGCTCATTCAGGCGCCGACGTCCATCCGCCTCCTGGAGTGAGGACCACAGATTCTAGTGGGCTCCAGCAAGACCCTGATCAGGAGGGGAAGAAGAGCAAGCTTGGGAAGTTTTGTATTACAGTGTGTTCTCTTTCTTTTGTGCATGACGTTTTCTGATGTGCCGGATAGATGGCCCACTCTGCTGCTGGTGGTCACCAGTTCGGCGTGGGTGATGCTATTAGGACTGCTAAAGCCTTAGGTCAAGTTGCTAAGCTTGTTCATTCGGTGATTTCGGATGACGACTCAGAGTCGGAGTCGGATGCTGGAGATTCCTCAAGCTAATTTAGCCTCTTTATGTCACACTCTGCTATTATACACTTACGATGAATTATCGTGGGTTAAGCATCAGCTGTCATTTTTTCTTGGAAATATCTTCTGAATGGACTCGCTTATCTGCGATAGAAATTGTTTCGATAGTCCTTGTGGTTGAGTAGTTCTACTGGACTTAGCGTTGACAGACTCATCACATAACATAAAGAAAATAATTACGCGCGGTATTTAAAGTATTTCCTCCTCGGTGAACCTCGTGCTTTCCCAAGGTAACACGAAAACACTAGCACCGCACCCATCAGTAAAATCTCTATTTGATGGCATTCAGCTTACCTCGTCCTCAGCTTCTGGAACCCACTTTCTTTCTCCTCCCGCGTCCCATCCCGATTCGAAAAGAGCACTCTGCCTTCCTCGATCAGTTCGAGTGCGCGTTCGCATGCCTTTCTCCTCCGCATTGGGGTAAAGGCATGTCTTCACTTCAACGTAGTCGTGATATGCTTCCATCAGCAAAGAAAACGGCTCCCGTGCGACTAGGGCCGAGTCAATACGAGAAGCAAGGCAGAACAAAACAAATAGACGAACGGACAACAGAATTTCGTGAAAGCAACGATTCCTGGACCTCCATTACGTCTCTACCGATATTACCCTCGCATCCAAAATGTTCGACATTGAGCGGAGAATCGGGAACGAGTTCATCTTTGCCGCGGCAGGCTGCAATGTGGTGGTGTGTTGGTGTGTTGTTACCGGCAGAAGGTCCCAATAAGGAGCGGCCGGGCCCACAGCCCTGACATGGCGAACCATGTGCTGTGGCCACAAAGGCTCATACCGTTGTGATCACGCTTTTGAGTGTGTCGCGTGGTATTAGGCAGAGGTGTATGGTGGCTCATCATTACACGGCACAGTACCTTCAGGCACGCTGGACCAACTCAACTGTCTCACTATGACTTCTGCGCGACTACGTTTTCATCACGTTGACACTGACATCCCATTGCGATCAAAGGAGGGATATGGTCGGACGGACAAGACGCGACGTTTACAAATATTCTAGTATGTCTGATGCGACACGACATGTCCTCTTGCTGACGCTACACAATGCAATCCAGGCGATTCGTAACGAGTCGCTATGGAGTGTCCGTTACCCTCTAGGTCAGTGTGAGGCCATATGTCTTCTTTGACACGCGCTGCATATGGTGCGTAGTATCTGCTTTTTCTAATTCGACTGTACAGACGAGCAGCCCTTCTCTTCAGGCGAATTTTCTGTCGCTGTCGCTTACCTTAGGGTCCGGCACGCGAAATCGCCTCCGGATGAAGCGAGCTAAGCCTCCGTGCACTTCCTTCATCGCCTCACTCCATCCACCAACCAATGCGAATAATCTTTTCTTTCCCTTACCCCCGAAACACGCTTCTTTCCTGGCGGGTAGGAGAAAGAGAGATCTGGCGCCTGTTTCTGGAACTTAGCGAGGGAGGACGTTCGAGCCAAGCTTTGTGCACGTCTTCCGATGGCATTTACCCTACCGGCGCGGGCGCATGTCGTGGTGCAAACTTGAGTGCGTCACGCTTTCCTTTTCTCGTGCTGCCCTCTCATGATCGTGTAGGGTAGCTAGCGAATGTAGATGTCATTGCCAAAATTCTCCATCACGCATGACTTGGGGAACGATCACATAATTATCTGTTTGCGCTTTGTTCGTCAGCCATGAACGCATAATCCTTCCTTTGCAGTCTCGCTTCTTTACCACCACCACCACCACGGGTCGATTCTCCCCATCTAGAAAGGAGAGAGGGTACTGACGCCTTCCCCAACCTTTTCATGGCGGGGTCGGTAGAAGCGTATGGTCTGTCGACTGCTTCTTACCGCCTTAGCAACAAAAGAAGGGGATATAGAACTACGGGACTCCAGCGCGGACCTCTGCTTCAGCAGCAAATGTGCCCTTCATACACTCGTATTACCTTCTATGTGACCGGAGCCGACCAACCGATACACAATCTTTTCCTTCCCTCGGCTTCTCTTACCTGGCATGAAAGAGAGAGGGCTCTTTCTGGTCCCTAGTACCGACGAGGAGGGAAGGTATCCAGGCTATCCCCCATTCAAATGCACATGCCATGTCGGGATGCAGGTTTGAGTGCGTTATGCTTTCCTTTTCTTGTGCCGCTCTAGCCTCAACGGTCCTGATGTTGGTATTGGAGGAGACTCTGATCACAACGGACTTCCAATTTGGGCGTGAGATTTGTTGTGACGAAATTTTGTATATAGCACCCTTCCACCTCGGCCACCGCCCGACGTCTGTTCTACTCCACAGATTTTCCCTTGATATTTACCACAGTATCGAAGAATACCTAGAAATATACTCATCATTTTTTAAAGGATACAGATGGCAGGTAAGAGCTGCAGAAAATCATTCATCACAAATTTGCACATAACGACTACCCATAGTAAATGAATCTCTAGACTAGTAAGGAACAGTGCCGTAAGCGCCGGGTTGTAACAATTTTTAACCACTTCTTAGCGCTAAGTTGATTTAACATATTTTTTCTTCCGTACCATCATTGTGATCACTTGAGGGTTATCGAGCTAGTCTCTGACACCCAAACATCCTCTGTATGTCCAAAGTTCGTTAGCCATGCCTTCACCACCGCTTCCACAGGAAAAACAAATCACACGCCTGTCCGACCCACGATCTAATGCCGCCGATAGTTCGCTTGGGTCATCGTCGTCGATGCCAACCGACATCGTTCAAGAAGCCACCCAATTTAAACCGTTAACGAAACTCGTGGCAGCCAAAAAGGTAGAATCCGGTGAGCCCCCACCTTATGGTAACCTGTTGACTGTGGCACCAAGTAAGTTCATGCGAATTGTGGATTGCTTCCTTCCAATCCTCACGATCCTTATTAGACAGTGCAGTTTTAAATCCTGAGTTATCAGCACACGGGTCCTGTAGGTACATTTCTTATTCATATCGTCTCTTTTGTTGACGGTCCGAGGAGACCAACCGAATACAGTTCGAGTGGACGAGGACAATCGGTATGTGCGCGCTACTATTCAGAGGTGCGTCCTGGTCATAACACGTGTATATATCATTTCCAGAATGGCTTCTAACGGTGCCTCAACTACTTGTACATCAGAAGGAGGACACGGACACGATATCAGAAGTTCCACGGAGAGAAATGTTCGAGTTGATGAGAACTACCAAGATGGGTGCGCATGTACCAATTTCCATGCTTAACAGAGAAACTTATATTTGCCAGTTTCGAAACCAATACAGGATTACTGTCACAACCTGCTCGAGCTACCAGCGTTCGAAGGTCATCCGGAGATGGCCCACTAGCGAACGTTCATGGCGAGGTCGAGCGTTGTGTTCTTGCACATCGTCGTACGGGTCGATTCGATAAATCCTCTGAAGAGATAGAAGATCCAGAGCTTGCGTCTCCGCGTACTATACCCCAAGTAAGGTGCACCGACGCTTCCAACACATCTTCAAGGCAAAATAGAACTGAGGGGACATCCACGGCTAATTTGCCTGGCAGCGAGGCGTCCCCGTCAGCTTCCTTCTTACTGCCATCATCACTTTTTACTACATCCCAAACGGAGTGCAACTTCATTCCCAACATCTCAGCCCTACCTCCATTCAGTAGTGCCAACACGACGAATAATAACTCTATAATCCAGTATGCATGCAATTTTGCTCCGAACATCTCCACCCCCAACGGCGCCAACGCAGTGCATACTGTCCAGATAGCGTGTAATTTCACTCCAAATGTCTCTATCCCACCTTCACACGGCACTTCTAATTCGTCCCGCTTTCCGCCACCAACTTCCACTGTAAACCAGTCAAGGTGCAATTTCACTCCGATCCTCTCTAACCCGGGGGCGGCGACCTCTTCTGGAGCGTCGTAAAATAGGTCCTAATATATTCGATGTTTAAACGTTTATCAGTGTAAATAACGAACGTAAATATAGGCCCTCACCAAGCCAAATACAAATTCTTGCCTGTGTAGTCGCTGTGCAAAATTTTGATGAATGACTCGCCTGCCATCCATATTCTTTTAAAAAATTATGAGTATATTCCTAGATGTTCTTCGATGCTTTGATAAATATTAAGAGAACGGCTGTGGAGTAGAACAGTTGTCGGGCGATGGCTGAGGTGGAAGGCTGAAAAAAATAAAGTGGTGGACCCGAGTCATGGTGCGATGGGGTGGAAAGTTCCTTTAAATGGACCTTGGCATCGATGCGATACCTGATACACAAGGGAGGCTGGAAAGCGGCAGGGCTCACTAGTTATGAGCGTGCCGCTGTCTGGGTGCATAAACAGTCACCGAGCACCCTACTGAGGTCGTTGGAGACGTTATCCATGTGTTTGAAGCACGCGATGGCGGTGATGGAGTTGGGTGATATTGGGGAGGGATATAACACAGCAACGACGAAACCACATAGGTGACAACGGCCATAAAGCTGGTTTTGCAGGTGCTAAGTAGGTCGCAGTTGTGCTTGAAGCACAGGATTAGGTGGACGTGGGATTCAAAGATGATGAAGAAACAGTACACGCGAGGCAGCCCAGGAATCCAGAGTCAAAGCAGATGATGACCATACAGAGCGAACGAAGGAGGGGTAGAATGGCAGCGTGCAGGGTGTGCTCAGAGGCATCAAGGATGTATCATGTAGGTCTCGGTACAACACTTCCTTTTCTCCCTTGCTTGGATAGTTTCGCAAACCTGTGCGTAATGGACAAATACGGGGGGGCTCGCACCCATCGATATCCATCCTCGGCATGGATTTCCGCTTGACCCTTCTCGTAGGTGTCAGACTTTTCTCATGCTCGTGAGACGCACTGCAGGTGCTTCACTGTGTTATCATTCCAGGACTCCTCTTCCCACACTTTCCTTACGCGATCTTCAGGCAATCCGAGTCGCCTGGTCCAGCTACGCATTAGCAATTTTCCAAGCACAGTTATTGGGACCTTAACAAGGACAGGAGCTGACATTGATGTTCCCAGAAACGACTTTCGCGATACCCGTTTGGAGGCCTCATTACGTAGATCAATTCGGGGAGGCGGAGGTATAGTCGTGGGGTAGATTTCTTCACTATAATGCACAGATCGATGAAGCGGATAGACTTTTCGGGTGTCGAAGGGAAAATGAAGAAATCCAGCTCAAAGAAATGGTCATCACCATTCAAGGGACAATCAATAATTGCTAAGAAAGTTCTGTTTTTGGTGAACAATATGCTGGCGTAAGTTAAACAGACGTCATAAATGCACAAAAGACTCACAACGCGACTTAGGAGGGATAATGATATCCTCCTCCAATAGCATGTCTGATTGACGGTCTTGGAGACCGCATACAACATACTTTTCGAAAGATAGTTCTGAGACAATGCATTCGATAAATGGATGCTAGATGAGACGGATGACTGTATCGGCAGCGACATTAACAGCTGTTTCTGGCAGGATGAAGCTTTGTTCAAAAAGAGAGCATCCTCAGAGTGATAAGAACGTACTCGCAGTAGCATGCGCTAGAAGGAAGGCAACAGACCGACTCAGCAAGAACGGCGGACGAAACTTTGGAGGACAAATACCAAATGTAAGATGCCGTACAACGCAGTATTGGCAAGCCCCGAGAGCACGTAAGTGGGTATAGTAGCGGGATAACAGGAAAGAGAGCGAACGATGCACAATGAGACTCTGAAGGAGAAGGCTGAACAAGGAGAATGACGGCGAAGCAAAAAAAAAACCGGCGGTAACAGAATTCTGAAGCCTAAAGTTGGGTGCTGAGTACTGAGTACTGAGAGTCGAAGTCGTAGCTGTTAAAACACGATAATATGAATAATGGTTGAGCGACACAAGATTTTCAGAAATTTAAAAAGACGAAGAACTATTGAAAACAGGCGGATGGAAAAGGCATCAAGGCCCGAATTATGCCGAGGTTGCCGAAATAAGTCAGAGGCAGAAGAGAATGGTGGCTGTGCACCTTCAACTCCCTTCTCACCTCTACCCCGCGAGACGCACTCAATAGTGTGGTTACAACGGTATATTGAGCCTTCGCAGCCACAGCGCATGGTTCGACATGTCAGAGCTGTGGACCCGGCTGTTCCTTATTGGGACCTGACGCCGGTAACACCACCACCACCATCACGACCTCTGTGCGACTACGCACCCTCAACAACGTCGACAATGACACCCAAAAGAAGGATATGGAACCACAGCACCTCAAACAGATGCGTATATTTGGGTATGTCTGATGCGACACGACATGTCCTCTTGCTGACGCTACATAATGCAATCCAGGCGATTCGTAACGACCCCTGCGCTCACGAATGAAAGGATGAGATGGAGCCCTTCGCTATAGAGTGGTCGTTACCCTCTATGTCAGTGTGAGGCCATACGTCTTCTTTGACACGCGTTGCATATGTGAGTTTCTTGGTGCGTAGTATCTGCACTTTTCTAATTCGACTGTACAGACGAACAGCCCTTCTCTTCGGGCAAATTTTCTGTCGCTTACCATGCGAAATCGGCTCAAAGGAATGAGGCAGAAGCTACATACGTATTCTGGCGAACAACAACCTCACTCCATCCACCAACCAATGCGAACAATCTTTTCTTTCCCTTACCCCCCCAACGCGTTTCTCCTGGCGGGTGGGAGAAAGAGAGATCTAGCGTCTGTTTCCGGAACTTAGCGGGGGAGGACGTTCGGGCCAACGTCTTCCAATGGCATTTTCCCCCACTGGCGCGCGCATGTCGGGATGCACGCTTTCCTTTTCTTGGACTGCCCTCTCATGATCGTGTAGGGTAGCTAGCGAATGTAGATGTCATTGCCAGAATCCTCCGTCACCCATGACTCGGGGAACGATTACACAAGTATCTGTCTGCGCTTTATTCGTCAGCCATAAACGCATAATCCTTCCTTTCCCAATCTCACTTCTTTACCATCGATTCTCCTCATCTAGAAGGAGAGAGGGTACTGACTCCTTCCTCAACCTTTCACTTATGCAGCGTTCCTGAACGAGGTCGTGGGAAGGGTCGGTGGTCCGTCGACTCGCTTCTTACCGCCTCAACAACTACATGCCCGAGGGGATATAGAACCACGGGAACTTTGGACGGACAAGACAATA